GTATGAAGATGACTGATACGCATCAACTTCAGATTGTTCAGATTCCTTATTTTTACAGATAAGGAAATGGAAATTTAGAGAGATTAAGAGATTTATACGAGGGCACCTAGCTGTAGCACTAGATCTCCAGTGTTTCATGAATAGTTTTTTTCCAAATGTCGGCAGTGATGTCCCCTCTTTGATCCCTGATTTTATTAATCTGAGTCTTTTCCTTTTCTTGGTCAGTCTAGCTTAGTCCATCAATTTGTTGGATCTTTTCAAAGCACCAACCTTCAGTTTTCTTGATATTCTTTATAGTGTTCCAGTTACCTATTTCATTTATTTCCACTGTAATCTTCATGACTCTTTCCCTCTGTGCTTGCTTTATGTTTAGTTTGCTCTTTCATTTTCCCAAGATGGAAGGTTGAGGATATGTTTATTGATTTTAGTGGGGGGGTGTGGAGAGAAAGACATAAATCTGTTGCCCCTTGTATGCACCTTGACTAGGGATGGAACCCACAACCTAGGTGTGTGCCCTGATCTGGAATTGAACCTGCAATCTCCTTTTGGTGTAGGGATGACTTTCCAACTAGCTGAGCCACCTGGCCAGGGCACTTCTTCCATGCTCTTGCTTAGTTGAAGTATTTCGGAGTTTCTGACCTCTATTATTTTCCTTTCTTTAAAGAGCTTCTTTTTGTAAGGCTGGTCTACTGGAAAGAAATTCCCTCAAAAGGAGAAAGTCTTTATCTCTTCTTTACCTTTGAATATTTTCACCAGGTACAGAATTTTAGGTTGGTGGTATTTTTCTGTTAACATTTCAAGTATTTCACTGCACTCTCTTCTTGCATGGTTTTTGAAATGTTGAATTTAATTCTTGGCATCTTTATGGGTAAGTTTTTTTTACCCTCTGGCTTGTTTCAGGAGTTTTTCATTTATCCTTGATTTTTTTGTAATTTGAAAATGAGATGCCTAGGTGTAGTGTATTGGTATTTATCCTGCTTTGTGTTCCCTAAGTTCCTTGGATGTGTGATTTGGTATTGGACATTAATTTGGGAGAAATTCTTAGTCATTGTTTCCGATATTTCTTCTGTTCCTTTCTCACTTTTTCCATTACACTTATTTTACACCTTTTGATAGTTGTCCCACAGTCCTTGGCTATTATGTTCTTTTTAGTTTTTGTTTTCTTTGCTTTTCAAGGATGCTGTTGATAAAGACTCTAGCTAATAGATTGGTTCCTCAGCCATGTCCAGTTTATTAAAAATCCCATCAGAGACATTCCCAATGTCTGTTACAGTGTTTTTTTTTAATCTCTCGACTTTTTTTGGTTCTTTCTTAGGCTTTCCATCTCTTTGTTTATATTGTCCATCTGTCTACTTTATGCATTAGAACCCTTATAATATTAACTAGAGCTATTTTATATTCCCAGCCTGGTAATTCCAACATCTCTGCCATGTCTGGTGTTGATGCTTGCTCTGTCTCTTCAAATTCTGGGGAGTTTTTGCCTTTGTTATGTCTTGTAATTTTTCTTTTTACGTGTACATGAATGCACTGAGTAAAAATAACTATTGTAAATAGGCCTTTAGTGATGTGGTGGTTAGGTTTGCAGGGAATGGAAGAGTTCTATAGTCCTATAAATATTTCTCAGTCTTTTAGTGAGCTTATGCCTCTGAACTGTGAACTTCACAAGTGTTTTCTCAGGTTTTTTTTCCTTCCCTCTTAGGTGGTACAGAATGGCTAGAGTAGGGCAGGGGTGAGTATTTCTCTTCCACAGGTCAGTTAAGCTCTGACAATACCTCAAGAGGTTAGGGGCTGGTTAACTAGTTTCCTATCAGGACAGACCTTGTTAAGATGAAGAGTGCTCCGGAGTATTTCAACATAGTTTCTTTTAGCCTCCACCTGCCAAAGCCCAAGGGGATATTTTTCTGATATTTGCCATGGGAATCTGGTTGAGCTCCTGTAGGTCTATCTGACAGTATTGTGGGTTCCCCTCTATGGCTGTGTTCCCCTGGAGTTTTTAAATCTCAGACTTGTCCACACTGAGCTTTCAGCAGTCAGTTTTGTAATTCACAAACTCCTGTTCCAGCACTGGTTCCCTTTGCAGTTTCTGCTTTTGAGTCTTTCCTGTGGTAAGCCACAATTCCTTGTGTTTGCCTGTTTGCTCTCCAATCTTGAGGGCCGTGGTTTGCCCTGTGTCTTTCATTCTCATGCGGATCCAAGAAGAGTTGTTGTTTCTTCAGCCTTTTCAGCTTTTTCTTGTTGTTAGAATGGGGTTGTGACTTCCAAACTCCTTATAGGTGGAACCTAAAACCAAAAGTGTGGGTTTCTTTTTAAGCTTGGCTTCCTTACCTTTGTAAACCAAAATTAATTTTAGACTGTAATAGAGAATAAAAGTCATTTATTTGAGAGAAAAAAAAGGGGCTGCTGCCTGGGAGACACAGATTCAGGTAGTAACTTAAATTGTATTCCATCAAGTTAAAGGGGAGATCCTCTTTTATAGCGAAACTTCTCTCCAGGGATGGAGAGAAACTTTGCTCTGGGCAATGGGCACATGATGCAGTGCACAGATGTTTTGCTGAGTTGTACACTTGAAACCTGTATGGTTTCATGAAACATTGTCACCCCAATAAATTCAATGAAAGAAGTTTCTACCTAGGTTCTCAATTTGGTCTGTTTTATGTAAGTGGGGTATCCAAATTGTGCAGTTTTGATTAGACAGGGGAGGTCTCAGTCCATTGGTAGAAAGGTGAAACTAGGACTTCTCTGTAGTGGTTGACTCAGACATTGTAAACACATGGGCATAGTGCCAGAAGCTGAGGTTTTAGTCGGAGGTCTTCCAGGAATACAGAATACTCGAGAAGCCCCTATCCTTAGTGGCCATTTCCTAATGGCCACTCGGCTCTTGTTATTTGTAGTATTTGAGTCCTTCATTGACCATGGCTAGTCCATTTAAGCAGAGTAATTGGTTCTTGAGGGGTACATCAAATGAATCTTATTTTCTATTTTCATACCATCACCCCCAGATCAGAGTACCTTAATTTTCAGTTATTGTTTGGTAAGAGGTTCTCCTGGAGCCATTTGAGCCATTCAGGCTCTTGGCTCTTTGTTGATGGACCTGTGTATTTCTTGAGGAATGCTTTTTAGTCTTCCTCAGATCATCCTCTGATTACTCCTGAGTAGCTGTAGCCAAGGACATATGCATAACTACCTGTATCCTCAGGGAAGGGTGTAGCCCCAGGATTGTTGTTAGCTATGTCCCCTCTTTTAAACTTTTTTTTTTTACTTCACTTGTTGCTACTATTATCTTGGAGCTACTAGTCCCCTCTTAATTGCTCACCACCAAGGTCTCCATTGTTTTTAATAATGGCCCTTAGGCAGGAACATCGCCTGCTGTGTTCTAAATAAAGTCAGTCCCTTCGTGCAGAGATACTGAACTCTTCCACTTTCTTGCACGCTTTTCTCCCTGTGCAGAGCCTCAGTGCCACACTACTGGAGTTTGGGGCAGGAAATGGCATGCTTCTGGAGTGCCACCCCTGCTCTATGAGTGGATGCTGAGGAGATGGTTGTCCTAGACCTTATTAGCATGCCCTCCAGGCATGGAAGCTCTGCCCCATAAGCCAGCCTGGATGAAGACAATTACGGTCTAGTATTCTTAACCTGTTACACTGGAGGTAGAGTCCTTACCCTAAGAGTGAGAATTGGATGGATAAAGACCCAGTTCTTTCATTGTTGCCCCTCCCCAGGTGAAACCATAGCCTAGGAGTCTAGGGGCTGGAGGAAGAGTGAATGCCCACCTTCTTAACTGCATTCATCTGAGTAGCTTCCATCACATGGAGCTGGTGTGGATAGCAGCAGTTGTGGATAAGAGAGGGGATAGGAGCTCAAATAGAACAGACTTGCACTGTTTTGAGATTTAGTTGTTGTTTTGAATAAATATTTTTTTCATTTACTGTAGACCCTTAAGACAATTTCCAGAGACTTTAAATGGTCATTTATTTTAACATTTTTCCCAGGGAAATGGTTGTTTCACTAGAGAGAAGGTCTGAGAACTCCATATACCACCATTACAAAAGTTCCATCCTCATTGGTTATTTTAAAAACTGGATGTAGAAGGTTTAATGTACCATAAGAGACATCTGTGAGATAGACTTACAATGACTAGGCCAGCATTATAGTATCCTTGTTAGCAAGAGGAAAACTCAGTTTGGTAGCTCTGGGTCTTTTTAAAGTTTTTAGAAAGGAATATTTGAAAGTAATGTCTTCAATTTAATTCAGTTTAACAAAATTTTATTGGCATCCTCCCTTGGAATATCAATTTTATGGTAAGTGATCTTTGCTTTGTTTTTTAAGTTTTAGGTTTTGAAACCCTGATGCTCATATTAATATATTATTTGTGGTTATCAGAATGTCCCATAGATAACATGGTTTGGTAATTAAAGCAGAAAACTGAAAGTCAAATTTCTCTACTCCCCAACCCCTCATTCTCATTTTCAATATCAATCCAGGAAATATTAGAAATCACTTAACTGCTAAATTGGTTCTTTCAGCTACAAAATGGAACTAATAGTGCTTCACAAGGGTGTTGTGAAGCTTAATAAATATTGCTAAGCATTTGTTTTCATGAAAATGCTGTATTTGTTTTATTTAAAATATATTTATATTTCTTAGACTTTAAAAGATGCCCACTAAGAGCTTGTATACATATGTAATCTAGCTCAGTGCTATATATATTTATATATATATATATATATATAAATATATATATATTTCCAAATGGAAAAGAACATTAATGTAATTATAGCATTGATTTATTTGATAAAATATCCTGAGAAATTGTGGCTTTTTGTAATTAGAAAGTAATGCTTTATAAAATTGATTTTCATGTGTTAATTGTCTAATAACCTGTTGTAGTGCAAAATAGAAAAGTTGGAATAAAGTATAATTATATCATGTCTGCTTAGTAATATATAATCTTTAACAATATAATCAATGAATATCTATTTTTTTCCTTTTTTTATTATTAGCCAAAGCTATGATATTGCGAAGATAGATAAGAGTTCTGTTGATCCTGAAATGCTGGTAAGAATCATGTTAAATATTGCAGAATTGGGTAGAAAAAATATAGTTTATGTTATTATAATAACCTATTCCCCCAAGTTGTGAATAGGTTATCTGTTGGGCACATCATTTAATATTTCAGTGTATTAGTTTCTATAAAATTGATATACTATACCTGTAGGGTAGATTCTTGCACCCATGAGTTAATATATGTTAAGTGCTTAAACAACCTTTGGCTCTAAAGTTTCAGCTTTTATTATTGAATGTTAAAAATTCTGGGTTTTCCCCTGACCACACAGATAGAACAGGCTTGTTATGGGAGTTAATTTTAATATTTAATCAAGCAAAATGTGATATGTAAACAAATCTGATGTAAAACCAATTTAATACATGCTACAGCAAAATGGAATGTTTTGAATATCTGTTTCTGCTTCTTACCATTATAGTGTATCAATCAAAATGTAACAATATATATATTCATATTCAATTATATATATTCATATATATGCAATGTTATAGAAGGGGAATAAGAGAGAAGTATAAAACATGGCCTGTACTCTTATGTTTATATTTAAAGTATAAAATTAATACAAGTGAATGCAGCAGAGTATTACTCAGCCTTGAAAAGGAAGGAAATTCTGATTCATGCCACAACATAGATGAACCTTGAGGATATTGTGCTAAATGAAATAAGACATTCACAATAAGACAAATACTGTATGATTCTACTTAGAGAAAGTACCTTGAGTAGTCACATTCATAGAGACAAAGTAGAATGGTGGCTACAGGGGTTTGGAGGAAAGGGAACAATGGGAGCTATTGTTTATTAGGTACAGAATTTCAATTTTGCAAGCTTAAAAGAGTTTTGTAGGTATCTGGTTCTGATGGTTGCACAACAATATGAATATACCTAATACTACTGAACCATATACTTAAAAATGGTTAAGATGATTAATTTTATGGTATATGTAGATTATCATAATTAAAAATGTACTGCAATAGTATGACAGAAAGGGTTATTATACAGCAATGAGAAAAAAATGAGCTATAAGTCCTGGCCAGGTGGTTCAATTGGTTGGAGCATTGTCCCATACACCAAAAGGTTATAAATTTGATCCCAGGTTAGAGGATATTTCTAAGTTGCAGGTTTGATCCCTGGTCAGGGCACATACAGGAGACAACTGATTGATGTTTTTCTCTCTCCCCCTCTCTCTCTGTTCCTCTCTCTAAAATCAATAAACATATCCTTGAGTGAGGATAAAAAAAAGAACTATAAGAATTGAAAGAATATGGTTATTCTGACATGTAATGTTGACTAAATAAAGCAAGATATAAAGTAGTACATGCTGTATGGTACCTTAAATGTAAATGTAAAAAACAGGTAGAACTAACAGTTCATGGTGTTGGAAAGTCAGGTAATTGGTTACCCTTGTTGGGAAGTGTCTGAAAAGGGGCATGAAGTGAGCCTGTTGTTAATGTTCTATTTCTTGATACCTGTGTCATTAACATACATGTGTTCACTTTATGAAAATTTATGTACTCTTGAGATTTTTAACTTTTTTGCATTTTATGCTTTGATTAAAATTTCAAAAACAGATTTCCAACTGAGTAAAAGTGAAACAATTTGGGAAGGCCAAGTGATAAACTGTGTGGTACTGACCTGAAGTTTGTACAAGGACATGCAGGAAGTGGAATATTAAGGTTGACTGGAGTAGTTGAAGAAGGCCTGTGGTAGGAAGGCCTTGAAAAATAGATAGGATCCATACAGTTAAAATGGAGGGAATACCAGGCAAGGGAGTTAGAACAGATGATATCTGGAGGAGGAAATGAGGATGAAAGACAGGATCCATTGTGATTGAACTGTATGTGTATTGCAAAGATTATGAAGTAGTTTTCTTTTCTTTTTTTTGGTTTTAAATATTTTTTAATTAAAGTATAGTTGCTGAAGTAGTTTTTATTTTATGCTAACATTACTTTATTGAGGTTTAATTTATGAACAATTATTTGCACAATAATTGTACAAATCTTAAGTGTACAGCTTGGTGAATTTTAATATATCTATATAGTCTTGTTACTATCATACAAATCAAGTTATAGAAATTTATATCACCTTAAAATTTCTCTTGGATAATGCTCAAGGGAAATAGTCAAGGTCCAGCACCTTGTAAACATATATGCACCCAATATAGGAGCATCTAAATATATAGAGAAAATCATGGAGGACTTTAAGAAAGATATCAACAGCAATACAGTCATTGTAGGTGATTTTAACACCTCACTGTAAACAATGGACAGATCTTTTAGACCCCCCAAAAAAATCAACAAGGATATAGTGGCACTAAACAGCACACTAGATGAAATGGACTTAATTGATATTTACAGAACATTTCATCTCAAAGAAACAGAATATACATTCTTCTCAAATGCACAAAGAACATTCTCAAAGATAGACCATATGATAGGATACAAAATAAGCCTTAACAAGTTCAAGAAAATTGAAATCATATCAGGCATTTTCTTGGATCACAATGGCTTGAAACTAGAAATCAGCCTCAAGAAAAAACTCAAAAACATTCAAATACATGCAGGCTGAATAAACGTGTTATTAAATAATGAATGGGTTAACAATTAGATCAAGTAAGAAATCAAAAAATGCCTGGAAACAAATTAAAATGAACACACAACAACTCAAAACCTATGGGACACAGCAAAAGCAGTCCTGAGAAGGAAGTTCATAGCATTATAGGCCAGAGCAAGTAGAAGGAAGCAAGTAATCAAGGTTAGAGAGAAATGTGACATAAAGACTTTAAGAAAAGCCAATTCAAAAGCTCAGTGAATCCAGGAGATTTTTTTTTTCCCAAAAGATATACAAAATTGACAAACCTTTAACCAGAGAAGACCCAAATAAATAAAATCAGAAATGAAAGAGGAGAAGTAACAGATACCACAGAAACACAAAGGACTGTAAGAAATTACTATGAACAACTATATGCCAAGAAATTAGACAATCTGGGTGAAATGGATAAATTTCTAGAAACACTCAGTTTTCCAAAACTGAATCAGAAAGAAGCAGGAAACCTGAATTGACAGATAACAACTGGTGAAATGGAAGCAGGAATCAAAAAATTCTCAGCACACAAAAGCCCTGGACCAGATATCTTTACAGGCAGATTTTACCAATCATTCAAAGAAGAACTAACACCAGTCCTTCTCAAACTATTCCAAAAAAATTCAAGAAGAAGGAAGACTCCCAAACTCTTTTTATGAGGCCAGTATCATCCTAGTTCTAAAATCAGGTAAAGGCACAACAAAGGAAGAAAACTACAAGCCAGTATCTCTGATGAACACAGATACTAAAATCCTCAACAAAATACTGGCAATCTGGATTCAGAAATACAATAAAAAGATCATTTGCCACGATCAAATGGGATTTATGCCAGGGATGCAAAGATGGTACAATATCTGCAAATCAGTAAATGTGATACATCACATAAACAAAGTGAAAGACAAAAATCACATGATTTTATCAATAGATACAGAAAAAGCATTCAATAAAATCCAGCACCCATTTATGATTAAAAAAAAAAAAGAAACAACACTCACCAAGTAGGAATAGAGGGAGGGGCATACCTCAACATAATAAAGGCCATATACGAAAAACCTACTGCCAACATCATACTCTATGGACAAAAATTAGAAGCATTTCCCTTAAGATCAAGAACAAGACAGAGCTGTCTGCTTTCCCCACTCTTATTCAACATAGTGCTAGAAGTCCTAGCCACAGTGATCAGGCAAGAAGAAATAAAAGACATCCAAATTGGAAAAGAGGAAGTAAAACTGCTATCATTCATAGACATGATATTGTACATAGAAAAACCTATAGATTCCACCAATAAACTACTCAACCTAATAAATGAATTTAGCAAAGTAGTGGGATACGAAGTCAATATTCAGAAATTGGTGGCATTTTTATATACTGGTAATGATCAGAAAGAGAAACTTTAAGAAAAGAATCCCATTAACTATTACAACAACAAAAAAACAGTACCTAGGAATAAATTTAACCAAGGATGTAAAAGACCTGTACTCAGAAAACTAGAGGACACTAAAGAAAGATTTTGAGGAAGATACAAATAGACGGAAGCATATACTGTGTTAATGGACTGAGAGAATTAACATCATTAAAATGTCTATACTACCCAAAGCAATCTGTAGATTCAACATAATTACAATTAAGATACCAGTGGCATATTTCACAGATCTAGAACAAAGATACAAAAAACTTATATGGAACCAAAAAAGACTCTGAATAACCTCAGCAATCTTGAGAAAGAAGAACAAGGTGGGAGGGATCACAATACCTGATATCAAACTATAATACAAGGCCACTGTAATCAAAATAGTCTGATACTGGCATAAGAACAGAAACATTGATTAATGGAACAGAATAGAGAGCCCAGAAATAAGCCTTTGTCTTTATGGTCAATCAGTATTTGGCAGAGGAAGCAAGAGCATACAATGGAGTAAAGACAGTCTCTTCAATAAATGGTGTTGGGAGAACTGGACTGGTACATGCAAAAAAATGAAACTAGACCACCATCTTATACTATATACCAGAATAAACTCAAAATGGATAAGATACTTAATTATGAGCAGTGATACCATAAGAATCCTAGAGGAAAACATAGGTAGTAAAATTTCAGATATCTCTTGTAGCAACATTTTTGCAGATACATCTACTAGGGCAAGGGAAATAAAGGAAAAAATCAACAATGAGACTACATCAAATTAAAAAGCTTCTGTACAGCTAAAGAAACCATCATCAAAATGAAAAGGGAACTGAGTGTATGGGAGAACATATTTGCCAATGATACCTTGGACAAGGGTTTAATCTCCAAAACACATAAAGAACTTATACAACTCAACACCAGGAAGACAAATAATCCAATTAAAAATAGGTAAGGAGTCCTGGCTGGTGAGGTTCAATGGATTGAGCGCCAGCCTGTGAACCGAAAGGTTGCCGGTTCAATTCCCAGTCATGGCCCATGCCTGGGTTGTGGGTCAGGTCCCCAGTAGGGGGTACTTGAGAGGCAACCACACATTGTTGTTTCCCTCTCCTTCTCCCTCCCTTCTTCTCTCTCTAAAAATAAATAAATAAAATCTTTTTAAAAAAATGGGCAAGGAAGACATGCGTATGGCCCATAGACATATGAAAAATTTCTCAGTGTCTCTAGCCATCAGAGAGATGCAAATTAAAACCACTATCACCTCACTCCTGTCAAAATGGCTATCATTAATAAATCAACAAAGAACAAGTGCTGGAGAGGATATGGAGAAAAGGGAACCCTAGTGCATTGTTGATGGGAATGCAGACTGGTGCAGCCACTGTGGAAAACAGTTTTTCTCAAAAAACTAAAAATAGAACTGCCTTTTGACCCAGCTATTCCACTGCTGGGAATATATCCAAAGAATCCCGAAACACCAATTCAAAAGAACTTAGGTACCCACGTGTTCATAGCAGCACTATTTACAATAGCCAAGATTTGTAAATAGCCTAAGTGCCCATAAGTAGATAAGTGGATTTAAAAAACTGTGGCGCATCTACACAATGGAATACTGTGCAGCAGAAAGAAAGAATTTTTACCTTCTGCGACAGCATGGATGGAAATGGCAACTAAATATTAGAGGAATCTGACAAACAAACAAATGAGCAAAATAGAATCAGAGGCAGAGAATCATGGGACTGAATGACAGCAGCTGTAAGAGGGAGGTAGAAGGTGGGGACTGTTTGAAAGAAGGTGAGGGGATTAGTCAAAGAACATTCATGAAAAATCGATGGACATGGGCAATGGTGAAAGGACTGATTATAGGGGTGTGGGCTGGGTGGATGGGGCAAAGGAGGAAGAAGTGGAACAACTGTAATAGTATAAACAATAAAACATATATTTAAAAAGATTCTTTTGGTTTCTTTCTGGTTAATAGTCATTCCTACCCCCAGGATAAAACCACTCTTCTGACTTCTACTGCTGCAACTTATTTTCAGCTTTTCTTGAGCTTTGTATAACTGGAATCATACAGCTTGTACCGTTTTATGTCTGACTTCTTTTGCTTAACATAGTAAATCTTATTAAAAAAATCCTCACTCTAGGACATTTCTTCATTGCTTTTAGAGAGAGGGGAAGATAGAGAGGGAGGGAGAGAAACACTGATGCAAGAGAGAAGCATCGATTGGTTGCCTCCTGTACATGTCCAAACTGGGGATCAGACCTGCAACTTTTTGATTATGGGACAGTGCTCCAAACTAACTGAGCCAAACTGGCCAGGGCCATAATAAATGGTTTTGAGATTTATCCATTTCGCTATATTTTTCTATGATGATAATGATTATTATTATTATTATTATTTTTACTGTTATGAAATAGCTGCAGTCTTTTTCAGAAATGCCGTATTTACTCCATAAAAGTTCTTTGGGAAAGTTTATAAGTTGAGAGTCTTTCCACAATAATAATAATGCTATTAAGTACATATATACATCTTATTTGACCCATATTCATTTATGAATTAAAAAACTCAAAGGTATGACACCTTAAATTTCATTTCTCTAGTTTCACGGAGCCTTAATGTGCTTAACATGTATTTTTTAAACGTTAGAACATCACCTTTGCCTGGCCCTACTGTACTTATAGTTAGAGGCAGATTCTTCATTGAAATAGGTCTCCTTCTTTCAAAATGTGAATCTGTAGTTAAATACGTTCACACTGTATAGAGTTACTCCCCTTATCAATGTAGAACTAGCTGGAAAAACTGACTTAATTCAGCAGTGCATTATTAATTTGAAAACTTAGCTGAGTTGGGAGAAATCTTCTCTCTAGGAAAGTATATCTGTCCCTACTGAAATGGTGGCGTATGTGCCTTGGTCCAATTGGTTATTCTCAACTGAGCTATAAAATCTGAGAAAGGGATTATGTCTTTTTATGGATTTATCTCTTTTGATGGAGGCATAATACAATGCTACCTATGCAATAGGTGGTAAGATGATTAAATTAAATATTGCTGTTTCCTTTTTTGTAAAGTGGAGATGATAAAGTACTTTAATGGTAAAACACTGTTAAGAAAATAATTAGATTAATATGGCTATATTAAATTAGAATAAGCTACTACCCTAAAATCCTTAGTATTTGGCGTGGGTAGCATAGTGAGGAGACATATCCCAAGAGTATCTGGTTACTTAAGGAAATGACTTACATTTGAGAAGATGACTGTCACTGTGTAAGTGCTAATCAGCTGTTGTATTGCAATTTAACCCTCAGCCGTGTGCTTTTTTACCCTATTTTTAATTATAGGCTAAAGTTCTACGGTTGCTGGCCACTGTTTATTTGGATTGGGAAGTCGGAGAAAATTATGATAAGGCTCTTGGCGCTATAAACCTAGCAAACAAGGTATAAGAAGTTTTTACTTTTGGATATTAGATTAATGAATTTTTTAAAGTTTTGATTCACATTTTGAAATCCAGTTTAGACACTTACTTTAGTATCCCTACATTATTTTAAACAACAGATTGTAACAATCTTTTTTACAGCACAGAAAGGAAAAATAAAAAATACCTCATTGATAACAGATATGTTTGAAAAAATTCTTTTGTATGAAATATAAAGTCTTTTCTGTCTGCTGTGAGTTTTTAGGATAAAGAAAGCAGATGATAAAATAGGCAGATAATGGAATTTAGTTTAAAAACCAACACCATGCGAGTGAAGGTAAGCAAGGAAGAAATAGCAGTTGAGTAAGCCAGCCCACAGTGTGGGCCACCACTGTGCTTCAGGTTAAATACAATATTTCATTTATTCATTCAACAAGTGAATATTGAGCACATCCTGTGCCCTGAGCTGAGTGTTGGAGAGGATTGATGGGGAAGATCAGATTTGGTGCTAGCAGGGGAGATAAATGCTTTATTGTAGGTGGTTGTGGGAACAGCATCAAAGTTTTGGGGGAGGGGCTAAAAAAGACTTCCTGGATGGGTGCTGACAATGAGTAGGAGTAAGCTGGGTATTTGGAGTCGGGGGAGGTGGGGAGGCTGCCCATGTTGTGTTCTAGGCAGAGGGAACAGTATGTGCAAAGACTTAGCAGCAAGGGAGAACGTCACAGGCATTCAGGGAATTGAAACAGTTTCCCCAAGCCACCAAAGTTTATTCAGATAAGAAGATCAAAAGCAGAGCACACAGATGTGAAATGAGTAAATTAGACCAGCAGGACCATTAAACAGAAGTCTGCCAGTCTCTTCCCATGGGAAAGAGAAGGCCCTGACAGCCTTTTTAAACACAGAGGCTGCAGGAGAAGCAGAAAGCCTTGGGGAGCTGCTGTGGGCAAACTCAGCTGCTTTGCTGGCAAGGTCATTTGAAAGAGGAGGGACTCTAGACCTGGCTAGCTGGGTCCTGCAGTCAGGGGGGTCTCTACCCTCCGTGAAATCCTCTACAGGAGGCCTTGGCACCTGCTGTGCCCTCAGCCTGGAATTCTCATCCCCCAAGTGGGCATGCTCCTCATTCCCCACCCCCCTGCCCTTCAAAATGCAGTTCTGGCCACACTTCCTCAGGATGCTCTTCTGAACAACACCTACCCTGTAATACATCAACTCAAGGACAGTCCACGCACCAGGGACTTCACCTTGTAGCTATTACCACGGTTGTGATTTTATATCTCTTTGTGTGGATTTTTAAGAAAATTAATGAGCGTCTCTCCTGGTAGACTGTAAGCTCTATGAGTGCAGCAACCAAGGCTGGTTTTGCCCACTACTACATCCCCAATACCTGGTATTGTGCCTGGTACATAAGAGGAGCTCAGTAAATATTAAGAGTGAGACCATATCCAAAGAACAATATTAATCATTTGTGACCTATGAAATGGCGATTTAATATGATTTGTCCTAATATTAATTGAATGAATGAATGAATTTGATTTTTTTCTGAGCACTCTTCACTGCAGCATCGAGTTCAGTACAAGGAGGGTACACTTGAGCCTGTTCAATGGACAGATTTTTCTTGAAATTTTAAAGAGCTGAGTATTTGGTCCCTGGTCATGGTCTAGACTTGAGCAGCACTTCTCACACTTAAATGTACATTGGGAATCTTGTTCATGTCAAGATTCTGACTCAGTAGGTCTGGGGTGGGGCCTGAGATTCTGAATTTGTAACCGGCTCCCAGGTGATGCCCAGAGGAAGGCAGCCAGAGGGAGGGAGGCCAAAAGTCAGATTTGGACCTGGTTGCTGGAGGTCCTCTGTGTCTCACCAAGGAGCTCCCACTCAGGTTCCTTTCTCAGTCAATACAAAATTCAGAATTTCATTTGCAAAGAGGTGGGGACTCCAAGTCATTACCATAGTGTCTGGGAAAAAAGGCTGAGCAGCTGTCACATATAAATGGAAACTTTCCAGGTCACTGAAACTTAGCTCTCCATGTGCCCAAAACTGTTTTTTTCTCTGTTATTGGTGGAAATGTTCCAAATTAATGTTATGAACACTATCTTGCCTTCTTAAACAGAGTAAATTGGACAGAACCTGAAAAAAACCAACACCAGTGGTTTTCTTTCAGCTCATGCTCATACAAACATGCATAGGTACATACATATATATGAACATACATGCATATATACCCCTGTACTCCTCAACAAGGAACATTCATAGTCAGGCTGATGACCATTTAAAGAGATTCAGTTAGGATCAATATGTTTTACTCAATTAGGCAATTAAATGTACTGAATGCTAGGAGAAATGTACATAAAGCTGATGCCAGGATTGTTCATAAAAGCAGTTAGGTTGAAAGCAACTCAAGTATCCAAAGTAGACCAGGTAAACAAATTGTCATACAATGGAATACTATAGAGTAGTCATTTTCAAACTTTAGCATTCATAAGTATTAACTAGAGTGTCTGTTAAACCAACGCAATTCCCTTATTACCTTACTAAACAGGTACTAGAATTTACGTCGAAATGGAAACTTTTCATTATGCAAATCAATAATAATGACTTTACACATTTTTCTAAAACCACACACATACTTTATTTCTGGGCCCTACTCCTAGAGGTTTTTTTTTTAATTCTTTTTTAAAAATTTTATTTAATCCTCATATTTTTTTACATTATTTTTTAGTCCCCTCATACCCTACTCCCCTCAGCAATCACCACACTGTCGATTCAGTAGGTTTGGTGGGGTTTGCCTTTCTAACATGTTTCCAGGTGATGTTGATGAAGGGAATATACTTTGAGGACCACGTTATAGAGTAATAAAAACAAATAAATTAGTTGCATGCATCAACATAAATCTTAAAATCATGATATTGAATGAAAGAAACAAGTCACAGAAGCATTTGTGTACATTATGATTCTGTTTGAATGAAGTTCAAATGCAGGCAAAACTGAGCAATATGTTGAGTATCTATAAAGAATACCAAAGCAATTGCACAAAATTCAAGGTGGTATTTACCTCTGTGGGAAAGTGAGGAGGTTGCAAGTGGGCAGTCGTAGATTGGAGGCCTCTAATGTGCTAGTAGTGTTCTGTTTCTTAACTTATGTGGTGAATACATGGGTGTTTGTTTTATCATTATTCTGTAAATTATACACATATATTTTCTATAATCGTGTGTGTTTGTGATACACTTCACACTAAAAAATGAAACAGTTATCTTTAGAGCTTGCAGGAAAAGCAAACAGTATAATGATAGGAAGGCCAAGGGTAGAAAGAGCTTCAAGGGAGCCAGCAGATTATGGCCTTTAGAGTCAGAGAGATCCGAATTCAAATTTCATCTCTACTACTTAGCAACTAGTGTGTCTTTGGGCAAGGTACTCCATATGGGCCTCAGGTTCCTCATCTGCAAAACAATATTTACAGTACTTGCCTTGAAAATTTGTTATACTTGGATCCTGTTTTCCAATAACTGTTTGGTAAAAAGAGAAAGAAAAAAAGCAAACAAAAATCTAAAGAAGAAGAGTAAGAAATAATAGTGAGAAAAAATAACAGTTTTAAGACAAGGAGGTTGATGGTAGGGAGAAAGTTGATGGATTTAACAGGTACTTAGTCATGAATTTTGAAAGCTTAGTGTCAAGACACAGGACAGACAATACAGTGTAAATGTTTATGGAAATGAATAGATGATACAATAAAAGCTAAGTACTGTCCATTCTCTGGAGTTGTTTGATAATGAAATAAAAGAGGAAAACATAATGTTAACTTATGGGAGTATCATAGATTGAAGGAAAACAGATCCTGCTAAGGTCTGGAAGACCTGTATACCTCTGAAGGTAAGAGGGTATTGAGCATAAGACATATTTCAACATGCCCACTAGGAAAGGTAGTAACGGAATAGGTTAAAATTTGCAACCTTAGTTTATTCTTTGTATTGTCATCTGTATTTGCAAACCCTTTTAATACCAGTGTTTACTTTCTCTAACTTTACATTCTTAAGACATCTCTTACATGAATAGCTATAATCATTTTCAGAGTTTAGATTTAATGAGTACAGTGTTCGTGTAGAGGATAATTGGCTTTGTAGAGAGAAAAGTTCTATTCTGTGGGTCTACACTGCACTTTTAATCTTAGCTAGCTGTTTAAAGATGTACCTTGTCAGGCAAAAGTAGAAGCAGGCTAGAGATCACAGATGGCTTAAGGCCAGCTAACAGGACTTGGAGAAACCATTCAGAGTACCTCCTTATGAATAGTAAATATGACAAGCATATCCTATAGGAAAGACAGTATGTTTTCTCTTTTTTCAACCATTGTTTACAGAGTACTGTAGCTGTTATTAAAATCTCACAAAAAAAACCCAATTCTAATTGATGTTTAAGGTTTTGCTTACCAAGAAAAGAATATGGCCTTATAGTCACACAGTTTAAGTACTAACCTTGCCATTTAAATGCTTGCCACTCAGTGGAAATGTTTACATGTTCTTTTCCTTGTTTCATTTCGTTTAGATTGAATAAAATATCAGAAAATGTCCTCAGGGATAGATTGAATGTTATGACCTGATCTTTTGTAATTTTGATTTCCTTTGATCATGAGTCATCCTGCTGTGGTTGAATAAAACAGGCAATTACTTCAAAATTGTCTTTTACATTCCACAGTTTTAATATAATTGTGATTTCTTTGTTTAAAATAGGAACATTTAAACCCAGCTGGGGTTTTCTTGAAGATCAAAATCCTCCTGAAGAGCAAAATAGCTAATGAAGAACTCATTGAAGGTATCGTCTCTGTGTGTGAAGTGCAATTTTGAAATTTAACCACCAATTTGTTAAACAGGAGATCTTTTGTAGTATAATTTGATGGTGACTGAAAGGGAAATTGATTACATAAGAAAGGGAGAAGATTGTTATCTAGGAAGAAAAAGAAACGAGATAATAATAGCAAATTTAATAAGTAGCAAAAAATAACTGGATAAAAGCTATCAGGCCAGGGCCAGGTGGCTCTGTTGGAGTATATCATCCTGTACACCAAAAGGTTTCAGGTTCGATCCTGGGTTAGGTCACATACCTATGTTGTGGGTTCAGTCCCCGGTCAGCACATGTATGGGAGGCAGCCGATTGATCTCTCTCTCTTTCTCTCTCTCTCCCCCCCTCCCCCTCTCCCCCCCCTGTCTCTCTCTCTCTCCCTCCCCCCTTCCTCACACTCTATAATCAAAAAAACATATCCTCAGGTGAGAATTTTTAAAAAGCTATCAGTTTTCTTTTAGCCCAACAGAGTTACACCTGCCTAACCCTCTGAAGTTGTCTATTACCATGAAGAAAGATTACCTATTGATAGAAAAACCCTTTATAATGTTGTAACTTTTATAATTACTTGTATAAACATTGCTACTTGTTTCTCAGAATTCTCAGGGTGCTAGAATATACACATTACGAAGTAAAGGTCCCAATATATAGCTGTGGGGTGTTCAGACCCAATGTATGTGGGTCTTTTGGCAAGTTACTTAGTTTTCCTATGCTTCAGTTTCTTCATCTGTAAAAAGATATAATAGTAATGTCTACCTCATTGTGGTGTTTTGAGATAAGAAAATGTATGTAGAACATTTAGCACCATACCTGCCTGGTGCATAGTTACTGTGTAATAATAACTATTATTGTAGTTATTATTATCATGGTTATTACTACTATATAAATGTATTAAGTGAGGCAAAAAAAGTCTTAATGTACACTGGCCCCCTAACAGTATTTCAATTATGTTTAGTCATAAAAGTAACTTACTCAATTCGTTTAATGTATTCATGCTTTAGTTTTTTACTATATAAAAATATAGTTGTATTATAGAGCTGCATTATTTTTACTATATAAAATTGTATATTAGTTTAATCACTGATTATCCAATAAATGACAACAATTTGCAATAAGTAGGACAATAGTCAAATTTGGAAGTGTGTAGCTCTAAATTTAGTACTGCTGAAACTTCCTGTGACATCTTGAATCTTATCCAATCACTAAGAGACCTCAGAAACTGAAATATACAGAGGATTCTGCATCTCCAGGTTGTTAGTATCCCTAGGTTGTCATCTCAGTATGCACAGGTTGAAGAGTGTTAGCGACCAGGAAGACAACTCCACTTTTTTTGCTCTAGGGAAATAAACAAACCAACTAACCAATTAAAACGGTAGATTTACTCAAATTAGTACAATGTGGGAAGACCATAGATATTATTGGAGTAACCTGGTGTGAAGTCCTTTCATTTTGGATGAGATTTCCCCATTACAGTTTTTTATCAAAATGTACATAAGAAGCAGAGTTTGAAGTGAAATTATTCTTTATTCCCAGATTGTTTTACTTAACTCAATCTAAATATTGTTGATATTCAGAGTAATGAAGTTCCAATGTCAGATTATAAATTAGGAGGCTTCCCTGACTCTAAGTTTTCCATAGTGTAAAATAATAAAATTATCTTTTACTTTGTTGCATTGAGAGAATGTATGAAAATTGCATTTTTATTGTCTCTTCATTTCTTTGCTAGTGAAAGTACTTTTCTCTTAGAATAGGCAACCTAAGTTGCTGGCATTAGAATTTCACTGGTATTTTTTATTGTAGAGAAAAAAATTAAAATACATATAATTCTTTAAATTATGAAAGGATAGCAGATACCCATTAAGGAAGTTTTTGGTAAATACTAAAGATATCTTTCGTCCACCATCTACTGGAATATAAACTCCTTGACAGCAGGGATTTTGTGTTTTGTCTGCTGCTGGCCAGCAACAGGCACACAGTTCCTGGGTCCATAGTGCATACTCAGTATATTTCCTTTTGTTATAATCAACACTGCCATTAATATTTTTGTTCATAAGCATTTTCCTATATTTATTCCAGATGACTTTTCAGAAATATAATTTCTGAGGTACAGGGAATAATAGCAGCCGTCACTTATTGAATGCTTACTAAGTGCTAGGTGCTTTGCTGTGTAATTTACATATATAATCTCATGTAACCCTCTCAATCACCCCAAGAGATTGGGGATATAGTCCCCATTTTATAGATAACAAAACTAAGGTGCAGAAGAATCTCAGTAACTTGCTTGTGGCCATACAGGTTGCAAATGATTTCAAATATAGGTTTTTCTGACTTCATAGCCCAAGCTTTTAACCACTATGTTCTTAGCACATAGTATTGCCAAACTGCTTTTCAAAAGGATTTTACCAGGTTACTTTGTCATCTATTTAAGAGTGCCTGTTTCCTCACACTCCCTAGCATTGTATATTTTTATGTCATAAAAAGATTTTGATAAGTTTTTAGGCAAGGCATGGTATGTGGCAAACATTTAGAAAGTACACTTTGAACAGAGAAAAATTATTGAAAATGGCTAAGCTTGCTCAGAAATGAAACTGATATGATTATTTTTTCTTTTTGCTAGCTGTCACAGACATACTGCATCTTGACATGACTGTAGACTTCTGTCTGAGCATTGCTAAACTGCTGATGGATCGTGAAAGGTACAGAAGAATTGATTATCTTTTCTCTAAAGACTAATATTTTTCTCAGGTTTCCATATACACGCATTGAATCAATCAATCAATCTCTCTCTCTCTCTCTCTCTCTCTCTCTCTCTCTTTCTCTCTTTCTATCCATACATCCATACATCCATATTCACAGAGCACAGTATTTGCCATTGTGCTGATCAAATTAGAAAATTGAACTTTGTTTAATGATTTAAACAATCAATAGTCAAGTAATTTTAAAATTTATATTAAAAATTTAAATAATAAAATTAAAAAAGAATGTCATGGCTTTATAAAACAGGAGTTAGACTAAGTTAAGTTGCAGGTCATTGTCAGGTGGAACAGGAACAAAGTATAGTCCTCAAGTGATATACCTCTCCAGCAGTATCTTTATGGGATCATTAATGTCAAAAGGGACCTTAAAGTCCTTACAGACCCCTTAATGCTTCTCAAACATCACTATGCATCAGAATTTCTGGGGAGTAAGCACTTCAAAATATGCTCAATATAATTAACCATCAGGGAAATGCAAATCAAAAGCACAATGAGAAACCACTTCACACCCACTAGGATGGCTAGAATCAACAAGACAGATAATAACAGATACTAGCAAAGATGTAGAAAAATTATAACCCTCATACACTGATGGTGGGAATGTAAAATAGTGCAGCAGCTTTGGAAACAGTCTATTAGTTCATCAACAAGTTAAATAGAAAGTTACTTAGCACGTGACTTAGCAAGTACGCTCTTGAGTTAAGAAACCTATGGCCATACAAACACTTGTATAAGAATGCTCTTAGCAACATTATTCTTAATACTGAAACGTGGAATCAACTGAAATTTTTATTAATTGATGAATAGATAAACAAATATGGTTTATCCATACCATAGAATATTACTTGGCAATAAAAAGAAACATCCTACTACCGGAGTGTCCAACGTTTTGGTGTCCCTGCGTCACACTGGAAGATGAAGAGTTGTCTCAGGTCACACATTAAATACACTGAGACATGTAATCACAAAATAATCTTATAATATTTTAAGTAAATTTACGATTTTCTGTTGGGCCACATCCGCAGCTATTGTGAGCTGCATGCGGCCTGCAGGCCGCAGGTTGGACACCCCTGTAATGTGGATGAACCTTAAAAACATTATGCTAAGTGGAAGAAGCCAGCTACAAAGACCATATATTATATCATTTCATTTATATGATACTTTTAGAATAGGCACACTTATAGTCGCAAAATAGATTTTTGGTTGCCTAGGGCTGTAAGAGATTGGGGAAAATGAGGAGTGATTGCTAAAGGGTTTAGGGTTACTTTTTGGTGTGATGGAAATGTTCTTAAATTAGGTGATGTTGCATAACTGTGGATATACAAAAACCAATAGATTGTATACTTTAAATGGATGAATTATATGGTATGTGGATTATACCTCAATAAAACTGTTAAAAATATAATCACTAAGGAACTTGATAAAAATAAAGGGGTCAGGCCCTACCTTACTCCAACAAGCCCAAGTCTATGTATTCTTATTAGATTTCCAGGTAGTTCTGAGAGCCACTATTTCAGACCAAGGATCAGTAAACATTTTTTGTAAAGGGCCAGGCAGTTAATATTGTATCTTAGGCTCGGCAAGCCAGAAAGTCTGTCACACCTTCTTAATCTGTTGTTGTAATGTGAAAGCAGCTATAAACTATAAATGAATGACAGTGGCTTTAGTTACACAATAAAACTTTATTTATGAAAACAGGTGGCTGATTGAATTTGGTCTGCAGGCTCTAGAGCTTGCTAACCATTGTTGTAGACCAGTCTCCTACTTGTACATGACTTCTTGGATGAAAAGTCATATAGCCTCTTCTGGAATACCTGTGGAAGAGAGGATTTTCATTATTACATTTTTACAAAGCTGGAGTATGGAATTCTTCCTCACATAGAATTTATACATATTTCCAGTAATCTCTACATATTTATACATATTTCCTGTTGTAGGGAAAAACCTAGTTCTTCCCTACTGTGTGTTTTTTTCCTATATACATATTTTTTCCCTGTCCCCTTTACTACTTACACAAAGCGTTTCACTTCTGGTCACCAAATATGTGTAAGTTTTTGCCCACACCAGTAAATTCTCTGTGACACCAACTGGATATTCTACAACTTGACTCCATTCTGACACTGTCTACCTGAACATAATGTCAGATCCCACAGGTTAAGGGCTCAGTTCCACAAGACTGCCCCCCACCCCTCCCTCTTTAGTAGTTATTGGTATGCCAGGTTTTTATATATCTTCATGATTCAGGCTTGGTAGGTAGGTGGTATATTTCTAGAAATTCATTGACTTCTTCTAGGTTATCCAGTTTGCTGGTGTATAATTTTTCATGGTAGTTCTTACAATTCTTTTAATTTCTGTGGCATCTGTTGCAGTGTCTCCTCTTTCATTTCTGATTTCATTTCAGTTTTCTTTCTTTTCTTAGGTTTGGGCTTAGTTTGTTCTTGTTTTTTAATCCCTTAGTTGTAAAGTTAGGTTGTTGACTTGAGATCTCTGTTGATTGTATTAATGTAAGCATTTATAGCTGTAAATTTCCTCCTTAGCACAGTTTTTTTTGTGTGTCCCATGAGTTATGGTACGTCGCGTTTTCATTTTTATTCATCCCTAAGTATTTTCCAATTTCCCTTGTGATTTCTTCTTTGATTCATTGGTCATTTAAGTGTGTTGTTTAATTTTTGTAACATCTGAACTTTCCAGTTTTTCTTCTGTTATTGACTTCTAACTTTATTCTTTTGTGGTTAAAAAAGACATTTTGTATGGTATCTATTAAAATCTATTGAGACAACATTTGTGCCCTAATGTATCTTGGAAAATGTCCCATGTGCACTTGAGAAGAATGTGTATTCTGTTATTGGGTAGAATGTGCTCTATGTGTCTGTTAGATCTAGTTGATTTATTGTATTGTTCAAGTATCTATTCCTTATCTTCTGTCTGGTTCTATCCATTGTTGAAATGGAGTCTTGAAGTCTCCAACGATTACTGTAGAACTTATCTATTTCTGCCTTCAATTCTCTCAGTTGGAGTTCTTTTGATTATCTGTTATTAGGTATGTAAATGTTTATAATTGTTATATCTTCTTGTATTGAACCCTTTATTAATGTATAATGTCCTTCCTTAGTTTTTCTAAGACTTTTTGATTCAAAGTCATTTTTTCTGATATTATTATAGCCACTGCTGCTCACTTTTGGTTATTTGCATGGAATACCCTTTTCCTTTTCCATAATTTCACTTTCAACCTATTCGTGTCTTTGGATCTAAAGTGAGCCTCTTGAACACAGCATATAGTTGGATTCTGTTTTTGTATCCATTCTTTAGGTCTCTACCTTATGGTTGGATAGGTTAATTCATTTATATTTAAAGAAATTACTGATAAAGTGGGGCTTTTGTTATTTTGCTGTTTTTTTCTATATGCCTGATAGATTTTTTTTTTTTTTTGGTCTCTCATGTCCTGTATTACTATTTTCAGGACTGAAAACTCTCCCTGCCCCAATTCTATATTCTAAAGAATTTCACACAGGAAAGAGTTTGCAAACCAGTGGACTGTAGGCTGGGTAGGGCCAGAGATGTGTGGCATAGGGATGAATTAGTTGCCAACATTTAATAACTTTACATAAAAATCTGGATTTCTATATTCTCCTGGGAAAAAAAATTGAAAAATCTGAAAACACTTGGCCAGTATTCTTGCTAAGCAACAATCAGGTGGAGCTAAATAGTTGGTACCATCTTAAGACATGGGGCATGTGTTCTCTAATTTGACCCAATCCCTACAGTACCTATTTTCTCTCCAAAAAGTGAGAGAATGAAAGCTAGACTGAGAGGGCATTCAAGAAAATGAGAAAGGACAAATCTCTTTGTGATGGAAGTAAAAAATATTCCTACATGTTTAATATGAAAACAAAGTGTGTCTATGTCAAATGAATACCACCCAAGAGCTCATTATGAAACAAAATAAAGTAGAAACGATGGCCAGTATGCAGAAAAGTGATATAATTAAAACTTACTGCATTTAAGGAAAGTACTGAAATTTTAACCAAATTTCTTCTGCAAAGTGAATTAAATAAGCAACCCTGTTCTAAAATGCAGTTATATAGTTATATATTAAAGAAAAAGATTGCCCAGGCATTAATCCCTCTTATAGATGACAAGTTTACAAAAACGGTTTCTAGTGAGTGAGGCACAAAGTATAGTTTTAAGTTTCAAATGTAATCTAACCAGAAATGCTGTTGTGTGGCACATTGAAGGCATGTCTGATAATTTAGTGGAAGGTCGTTTTAAAAGGTTTATTTGTGATGTTTCTTTTGCACAGACATAAGTAATACTGCCCCCCAAAAGTGTATTTATTTGTGGTGTCAATGAAAAGTTTGATGTGATAGAACTTTATCACATGGTGCCTGTATCTTATAAGTTTCATGTAGGTTGGTCAAAATAACTTAAATGTGAATATAAAAGATATGCTTGCAATGGTTAGTTATTAATATAGGCCTTGATTTGTACCTTAAATCTAAGGTGGAAGTGTGTTTTAAGATTATAAGACAAGTCTATTCATTGTATAATTCACCAGGAAACAGTTTGTGCTAAAAAGCTAAAAATGAAATGTGAATGTAGTAATACTACATGTATACTGAATATCTCCTGTGACTTCATCAGAGGTTATTGCTTTGTTGGGTGAATTTGACGCACAATGCAATAGGGGCCTCTACTTCTTGGAGCTTAGGGGTCTTACTTGATTGTGATGCTGTCACCAGTTGGGTTGCCCTGGAAGCAGATTTTAAGATGGAGGTTAATGTGCAAATGGTTTTTTAAGGGGTACTCTTGGGATCAACACCTATAACGGGAAGGAAAGGGGGCAGAACTAGGTAAAGAGAGTTGGACTGATGTAACATCACAACAATGCTTCAACCTCAGCCCATGGGGAGCACTGAAGATGGGATGGCCCTTCAGAATTGTCTTCAGTTAGGGTGAGATCATATAGCCCAGTGTTGACTAGTCATTGGATGCCAGCTGCCCGGGGAGGGGGCATAACCTTTGGTAATTCCTAAATAGCAAGTTGGAAATAAATACTTCAGTCTCGAAAGGGAGAGCCGGACAATACAGCACAGCATTTATGACAGGTGCTAAAGAGATGTTTTTTGAACTGTTGAAATAACTCAGCTTGTTCATGTCATCCAAGGGAAAATCCCTGCCTCAGCCCAAAGACTTGACCCATTTGGTGAATGTGACAACCCATATAAATATTCTGAACCTGTCTCTGCAAATGTGCTCGATAAGTAATTACGCAAATGTAAATTTTAATTCACATGTTCTTAGTGAAGTCATTTCTTCGGGGAACTCATTTGGCAAGGAATAATCTGATTCACTTTTCTATGCTGAAATTGGTTTTCAGAGATGGAAGTGATTACCTAAACTACAGACTCAAAATTGTAGACTTAAAGATTGACTTCTTAAAAATGTTTTCTGATTTTCAGCATTATAATAATGAAAGCACTATTTTGCCTTTCTCAATTAACATCACTAATGTGGATAAAAGAACTACACATTGAACTGTAGTGTAGTGTGGTACTGAATTCTAATCAGGTAACTCTGAAATATCAGATATAGTGGACATTTATTGCTTTTGATCAGCTATCATTTATTCATTCCACTTTCCTTTGAATGACAGCACCCAAATTTCCATTTAAGTACCTACTTCTTCCATATCAGCCCATGTGGATATTGGCATATTAGTATAGAAGAGTTTCAGGTTTCTATTTTCAAATCAACAGAATTATAAATTTCAAAATTTCAAAATCAGCCCTGGCTGGGTGGCTCAGTTGGATGGATCCACCCCTGGTCAGAGCACATACCTAGGTTGCGGGTTCAATCCCCAGTTGGAGCATGTCTGTCTCTCTCTCTCTCTCTCCTCCCCTTTCTCTCTCTCTCAGAAATCATAAATATACCCTCAGGTGAGAATTTAAAAGTTCAAAATTAATATTAAAAGTTAGATAAATTAAGTAGTACTATTAGATTTCAAATTTAAATTTAAAATAAGCTGCTGCTTCTGAGCTCTTACCTGTTTCTACTATAACATGCTGTATCGCCGTTCAGTTAATAGACCCTCATTTGAAAAGATATATGCATCCCTATGTTCATTGCAGCATTATTTACAATATCCAGGATATGGGAGCAACCTAGGTGTCCATCTATAGATGAGTGGAGAAAGAAGTAGTATATATATATTCAATGGAACATTTCTCATAATAAAAAAGAATGAAATCTTGCCATTTGCAACAGCATGGATGGACCTAGAGGATATTTTGCTAAGTGAAATCCGTGAGACAGAGAAAGATAAATAACATATGATTTCTGGAATCTAAAAAAAAAACCCAACAAATGAACAAACAAAACAAAAACAGACTCATAGACACAGAGAACAAAGTGATGGTTACCAGAGGGGAGGAGGTGGTGGGATGGGTGAAGACTGAAGGGAGATTAAGAGGTACAAACCTCCAGTTATAAAATAAATAAGCCATGGGGATGTAATGTACAATACAGGGAATATAGTCAGCAATATTATAATAACTTGATACAGTGACAGATGATTACTAGACTTATTGTGGTGATCATATTGTAAGGTAGAAAATGTCAAATCACTATGCTGGACAGCTGCAACTTATATAATATTGTATGCCAGCTATACTTTAATAAAAAAATTTTTTAAAGTGTGATTGCATATCTGGAAGTTGCTTTTTCTTGAAGTCTGTTTCACTCATTTATGTTAAACACTTGTCACCTGTAGGCAGTATAAGAATTATGCATTATATTATAGAGAATGATTTTAATAATATCATTGCAAAGGCATAAATATATTGTATGTAAAGAAGTTTCTTTTAGCTAAGTGTGCAAAACGTTGTTAGAAAGTGAATGCAGTTCTGCTATGACTAAGCTAAGGTAGTGCAGACCTAGTTTTCTGACGTTCCACCTTGATGTAAGGGTAAAATTTTGAATACATTGATAAGTGGGTTGAAATACCATGTTTGTTAAGTGATATGTTTTTGACATTTCACCATTTATAGTCAAGCTTGATTAGGAGTCAGGGTGCAAACAATTTCAGGTTATATACTTATGAGATCCTGGTAATATATTGTGCTATAGAAGGGCATAACATATGCTTCCAATTCTAGGAAAGCAGTTAGGTGGCTTGATAGTCTATTATTGTGAGTCATTTTTCTGAAATTTTTTAGATTATCTGATTACTCTGTAAATTTACCACTTAAGTAAACTTGTCAAAATATAAACTAAGATTAATTTGGCTTGTCTTTTACTCATCAAATCTTTGCTGGTTTATGTTAGTGCTTCTCAGACTTTAATGTGTATATGATCAGCTGAAGGTCCTGTTAAAATAGATACTCCAATTTAGTAGGTCTGGGGTGGGGCCTGAGATCTGCATTTCCAGCAAGTTTTCAGATGATGCTAATGCTGTTGCTTTGTGAACCACACTTTGAGTAGCCAGGTTTGGGAGTTTACTTCCCCCTTTGAAAAATCAGAACTAACAACTTTTCCTTTCTTTAGTCTTCATTACCCCTTAGTTTTTCCATAATTTCTTAAGACTTCTATAATTTACAAGTCTTACTTATAAATCCTTTTAGTCTCTTATAATGCAAGTTACTTTGATCAAGGGATCCTGAACTTTTTACAACAAAGAAGTTACTATTACTGTCTCCTCACCTTGAGCTTTAATTCCTTCTTCTCAAAAATTCTATTTTTTAGCTCTGTGACCATATCATGACTATAATGAAAAGTTTAAAAGGAAAAAGATCATATCTAATCTTACTATCCTAACAAATAATCTGTTTTGAATTTTCCTTTTTTTCAACTCTTTGTATTTGTGCATAATTTTTCCTATTTGTAATCTTGGCATAGATCATTTGATCTTTTTATTGGTTATTATGTTTTGGGTTTTTTCAGATACATACCAAGAAGTGGAATTGCCAGGTCTATTTAAAGAACAAGTATCAGTGACCCATGGGCGTGGACAACAGGGTGGGGGCTGGCTGTGGGGGGAGGAGTGGGTGGGGAAGGGGGGAAAACAGGAAAATTGGGATAACTATAATAGAATAACAATTTAAAAAAAGAAATACCATCTTAAGAAAAACAATTCTATTTCTAATTTTCTGAAGAAACTTCATACTGTTTTCCATAGTAGCTATACCAATTTGCATTCCTACCAACAGTGCACGAAGGTTCCCTTTTCTCCACATTCTTGCCAACACTTGTTGTATATTGATTTTTTTTTTTACTGAATTTATTGGGGTGACATTGGTTAATAAAAGTATATAGGTTTCAGGTGTATAATTCTATAATACATCTTCTGCATATTGTATTGTGTGTTCACTACCCCAAGTCAAGTCTCCTTCCATTACCATTTATACTCCATATACCCTCTTCTACTTCCCCCTACACCCCTTCCCTCTGGTGATCATCATGCTGTTGTCTGTACCTATGAGGGGTGTTTGTTTTTTTTTACTTAATTCCTTCATCTTTTTCATCCAGCCATGCAACTACCTTTCCTCTATCAACTGTCAGTCTGTCCTCTCTGAGCCTGTTTCTATTTTGTTTGTAGTTTATTTTGTTCATTATTAGATTCCTAATATGAGTGAAATCATATGATACTTCTCTTAACAATAATGTCTTCCAGTCCATGAATTGTTAGAATTTTTTAAATAATCAAAATATACTGGTATTATTTGTGTAACCAAGGATAAATAAATATTTATAAGGAGTGGTTGGCAGAAAGCACTGGTAAACTTTTTTCTTTTTAATTTTATTGAGATGTAAATGACATTCAGCACTGTATAAGTTTAAAGGTGTACAGCGTAATGACTTGAGAAGGTGGTTGGAAGGTACAATCTTCCAGTTACAAGATAAATAAATATTAGAGACGTAGTGTACAACATGGTGACTGTAATTAACATAGCTGTACGGTGTATTTGAAAGTTGCTAAGAGAGTAGATTCTAAAAGTTCTCATCACAAAATGACTAGTGAATTTCTGATGTCAGTCCATGCATCTTCACTGGAGCTCATGAAGCAATTTTTATAAATTAGCATCATTTTTGGAGAAAAAGCATAAATAAGACAGTAGGAAAGAGATGATTATCTGACTATAGGTGTTCATGAAAATAAAATATTTGTGGCTTAATAAATTAAGCAAAAATTGAATTAAAAGGTTTATTTTGACAAATAGGCTTATTTACACATTTAGTGATATTACCTAAGCTCAGATATAATTTTATCTTGCCTCTTTTGCTCATACTCAAATAAACTTTAGTCCTATTGGTTAAAAAACCAACTATTCTACTCACACAACTTACAATTTTGTTTCATTGAACAGAGAATTTGTTGGGTTTCATTTCCTGAAGATGATCTGCGAACATTTTAAGACATCAGAAAATGTTGGAAAAGCTTTACTGTACCACATTGAAATACTTATACAAAGAAAGGAAGAACAGCTTGCTAAGGAGATGATTGAAGACATCATTATAGGTCAGTAGGATTTCTACAGGTGTTTTAGAAAGGTGTTAATATGCATATGATTCCAAGGTGGCTATCAGAACAGTAGCAAAATACTCAGGTCAAGAGATTTTTTTTCCTTTTTCTCACTCCTCTTTTTTTCTTCCTAATAACCTTTAACTATAACACGTCACCTATCCAGATTCCACTTCTTTGGCAAGCTAGAATGACAAAATAAGCAAATATAACAAACCATAAACAAAAACAAACCTTTGAACTTAAAACTCATGTATGGTGGAAAATTGTGATGTTAGAAACCTAATTTCACGTGTTTCCAGTTTGATCTCAAATTTGCTGTATGCCTTTGGGCAGGTCAATAATATCACTGGATTTTATTTTTTTCCAACTGTGAAATGAAGGTTGTGTCAAATTCCTGGTTTTTGACATTTTTTAGCAGCAGCATCCTCTTGTGATACAATCTTATATGAACCCTGTGCCACATGAAATACACTGTAGTTGCTCCAGTTAAAGCAGAGATGTAGAGCCAAATCTTAGCATTCCCCAATCTCCCACCTCTCTGTAGGACACTATAACCTGAAGCACACAGATGGTTATAATCCCTTTCTTAGAAATTCTCACCCCAGTCTCTTCCAACTCTACACATATATAGAGATATAGTCAGTAAATGTTTTCTAAAAAATTTTTTATTGTTCTATTATAGTTGTCTCAACTTCTCCCGCTTTATCCTCCTCCACCCAGCCCACCCCCCACTCCCGCTGTCGATCCCCACACCGTTGTCCATGTCCTTAGACACAATTCTAATAAGCTTGGTCATCTGGTTTTTTCAACCCTTAGCATTTTAATGGTCATATATTAAAAACAGTGAAAGGGTATACAGGGAAATATATGGCTAACTTGACAACAAGGTAAGAAGAAAAACTCCACAAGTTTTATTAAAAAGTTTCAAACATTAAAAAATATAATAATCTGTACTATATTCTATAATAATTACCAAAGGCATCACCATGATTTATTAATAGTACAATAAAATACAGTACTTGTTAGTGTTGTTGACTCTGAATGACCAAAGGTTAAAATGTGCTTCAGAAAACTAGAAAGTATGTTTAGAAAAATATAATTCATAAAACATAATTTTAGAAAAATTAAGAACTGAATGAAGTGATTTAAACTTTTTAAAATAAAAACATTTTATGTTTAATTAAACAGTCAATCAACTAGAAAAGTTGGTTATCCAGAATAACTAATTTCCTAAGGTTATAGTTAAGAAATCTTAGTTGCATTGTGATTCCAGATTATACACTTATATTCTCAAAATATTATAACATTTTAAGTAGATACATTAAGTAGCTTTTTACTCTCATGTGGGTATTTTTAACTAAATCATGAAACAAACTACATCTGCTGACTAGGCTTGAGAGTCGGAAACTCTCAGTGCTAATCAAGACTGTGGAAATTGATAGTGCCAAAGGGGTGAAAGAGAAGTGGGTGTAGAATTGTATTATTGTTTTAAACTTTTCCTTAATGTGTGCTAATATATTTGAACTCTGTAAATGTCTAGACCAGAAACAATCAGACACAAGTTACAATTTAAAGTAATAAAGTTTATGTGTAAAGATTGTCTTAAAGTATTCTACAAAGGCTTTAAGGTATAATTGGCCTTTCTTGTGAACTTGATCTGATGTGGTTAGTACATAATGAACATTTCTTATTAATGATTTCCAGCATTGCTGCCTGTTCATTCACAATAACATTAAGGCACCAGATGATGATCAAATTTGGAACATGGGAAATACATTAAAGAGAGACTAGGCTGGAAAACTATCACAGATTGATGGGCGAATTACTGTGACTGTACCAAACGCTGACTGTATTGTATAAACCGATTTTGCTAGTAAACCTAAAATCTATGATGAAAAGCTGTCTGAATGTGATTGTGTTTGTAGCCATTACTTAAAGATTATGTGTTCTGAATATAGTTAGCTCTTTTATTTAATGTAATAGAGCTTGATTCTTGCTTCTAGATCTTGAGAGGTTTTTTTTTCTTTTTTCAGATCAGCAAGCAGGAAGAAAAATGACAACAGAATTAATAGGCTATTTACACAACCTTCTGTGGAGAAAAGCTTCCAAAAGTTATGAGGTTTGGGAATAATTTTTTTTTATTCTTTATATTCTCTCTCAATCCCAACAAGGAAAAAAGTGTGTTGACTATAAAAATTATAGAGCATCAAATACTTTAGTAATCTCTATTTATTAAAATTCATAATGTAGAATGTTAATGGGCATTGGGCAAGAATTTACATTATTTTATTTTTAATAAATTATATTTTATTAATTATGCTATTACAGTTGCCCCAATTTTTCCCCCTTTGCCCCTCTCCACCCAGCACCCTCTATTCCCTCAGGCAGTCCCCACACCTTTGTTCTTGTCCATAGGTCATGCTTATAAGTTCTTTGGCTACTCCATTTCCTATACTGTACTTTACAGACAAGAATTTATTTTAAAATACTAAGATATGATTCATCCCCATTGAGGACTTAGAATGTAGGGAAATGACACCATGGATATTAAACTATAGGAAAGTAATTTATTTTAACATGAGGAATGAGAAACTCTTAGAGGTTTTTATTCCCTTTAAAAATTGTGGCGTGAAGCACAGTATTTTTAGGGCACTGAAAATACTTTGATATTGTAATGATGGATACATGTCATTACACATTTGTCTAAACCTATAGAAAATACAACACCAGGTGTGAATCTGGATGAAAACTAGAGACTTTGTGTGGCTGTGATATGTCCATACAAGTTCATTAGTTGTAACAAATGTATTGCTCCAGTGGAGGATTTTGATAAGGGGAGAAGCTATGCATGTGTGGGGGTAGGGGGTTCATAGGAAACCTCTGTACATTCCTCTCAATTTTGCTGTGAATCTAAAACTGCTCTAAAAAACCTTCTAAAAGTTTTTTTAATTGTGGTGCAATTTTAAAAAATACAAAAAAGTAGTAATTATTTTCTCTTTACAATCCAGATTTACAGTAGAAAAATTTAAAACTATGGATACATTTTTTAAAGTATAGTTATTTGTAATATAATCACTTGCAAAATTTGGGTATATTTCCTTCTAATTTTTCTCTGTGTGTAAAAAAAAAAAAGGATATACTGTTTTTAAAAAGTTATATTGGATTTCCACTTCCAATCAAGAAGTAACAGACCAGATTTATGTCTTTGCCTAAACATACCCCAATAAAACAAGACAAAATACATGAAAAAAATGGTTTTTAAGACATTGGATATCAGACAACAGAGAGTGATATCTTGGAAATAGGAAATAAACAAAGTGAGCCCTGTAGTTGTGCAGCTTACTACCTTGAATTTCCAGGCTGTCGTGTAGGAAGAAGAACTGAAGTGAATTCTAGTGGGCTTTCTAATTAGAGTAGATGTAGCTGAGAGTGTGAGAGACCAAAGCAGCTAAACTCATAGAACAGAATACCAGAGAGGAGAGCATAGCACAAAAAGAGAACCCCAGCAATCTGCAAGTCCTCCTCCAGTGTTTAGCAGAGTACTGATGAGGACACTATGGAATGAAAATATCTGAAACCAGGGGAATAACCATCTAAAATTAAGAGAGGTAACATGCTTGGCATTCATCAATAAACAGACACCTCGGTTGTTTCCATACCTTGGCTATTATGAATAATGCTGCAATGAACATGGCAATATAGATATCTCTTTGAGATAATGATTTCATTTCCTTCGGATATATACCCAGAAGTGGGATTGCTGGATCACATGACAATTTTATTTTTAATTTCTTGAGAAACCTCCATACTGTTTTCCAAAAGTGGCCATACCAGTTTATATTTCACCAATAGCATGCAGTTTCCCTTTTCTCCACATTCTCTCTAGCATATATCTTTTATCTTCTTGATGATAGTCATGCCAGCAGGTATGAGGTGATATCTTATTATTGTGGTTTGATTTGCATTTCTTTGGTTATTATTGATGTTGAGCACCTTTTCATGTACCTGCTGGTCATTTGTTTGTTGTCTTTGGAAAAATGTCTATTCAGATCTTCAGCCCATTAATAAAATTTTTTTTTGCTATTGTGTGGTAGGAGTTCCTTGTATATTCTGTATATTAACCCCTTATTGAATATGGGGTTTGCAAATATTTTCTACCATTCCATAGGTTGTCTTTTAATTTTGTTGATGGTTTCTGTGAGATTTCTAATGTGAGGGAATAAGAATATTGATTGTCACTTTATCTGTGACTTATACTGATTATTAAAACTGATAATTTAATGCACTTAGAACTCAACTACAGGAGATGTTGTGTTTTGGTTGCGTAAAAAAAGAAAAATACCAGTCAGAGAAAAACATACCATATGATCTCGCTTAATGTGGAATCTAATGAACAAAATAAATTGACAAACAAAACAGAAACAGAGGCATAGATACATGGGACAGAATGATTCAATAATGAACAATAATATGTGGAACTGTCGGAGGTTGGGGGGACTGGATGAAAGAAGATGAAAGGATTAGCCAAAAAACATATAGGTATGACCCATAAACACAGACAACAGTATAGTCATGGCCAGAGAGAAGTGGGTAGGAGTTAGGTGGAGGCAAGCAAAGCCGGAGGGCAGAGAATGGGGACATCTGTAATAGTGTCTGTCAACAATAAAAATAAAAAGTAAGTGAACAATATTTAAAAGATAACTGATAGAAGTTTCTTCAGTTCTCCCATTAAAAGAAAGAAAGAAAACAATACCATTTTTCTGTTTGTTCCTAGGGGTAACTTGGAAATATTAGAGCCAAATGTAGAGATATTTGTGTGATTTTGTTATTTCTTTTTAAACTTTAGGTACAAGACTATGCTGAAGCCCTAAACTGGTACTACTATTCTCTGAGAATTTATGAAACTGATGAAATGGATGGGGAATTTCCTAAGCTGAAGAGGAACATGGCTTCCTGTTACCTGCATTTGAAACAAGTTGAAAAGGTCTTTTGATTTATCTATTTTTCTTTTCTTTTTTTTCCCTTTTGCAAGAGTGAGCTAAATGTCTACGTATTTTCCAGAAGTTTGGCTATATTTATGTATTTGTTATTTTTTCTTTTCTTAATCCCTTTACCCTTCTCACCCAGCCCCCAACCCTCTCCCCTCTGACAGCTGTCAGTCTGTCCTCTATATCCATGAGTCTGTCTCCACTGTGTTTGGAGAGTATTATGCTGAATGAAATAAGCCAGTCAGAGAAAGACAAGTACCACACACCTTCACTAATATGTGTAATCAAACGATCACCTGTTTTTCAAAGGCCACAAATGTTGTCATGCTTAGTGGCAGAGAGATAGAGGCAGTGGTGTGACTTCTTTGCTATCTGAGAGTTCATCATACAGGAGAAAGTCAAATTGATATTTTCCTGATTTGCACACTATACAAATTAATTACTGGAATTCCCAAAAGGAGATAGAATTTGGAAGACCATTAATTCCATTACTTACTCTTTACTTTTTGCACCCTGTTCTGAAAAGTGATATATCATTGGAACTCCTGAACAAAGTTATCTGCTACTAACCATCTGAAGTATTTTCCTTTGAAGTGTACTAAATTTTAAGGCATACATTTTTTTGACAAGGATTCAGTGAGAACAAATACTTGGATGAAATGGTCAATCTTTTACTTTCTGGGTTACCTCTTGCCTTTCCATCTACCCTAAAAAAATGTCCAGAAATTGATTTTTTTAATCAGGACAAAATTCTAAAAGGTAAAAGATAAAAACTTATTTAAGGATAGAACCATTCATACTTCCCAAAGCAACTGGGAAATTTCTTCCTTTTGGTATTTATAGTATGCACATATTTGGGGGGGTGGTATTGGCTCATGAAAAGGCAAGGAAAAGGAAGGGTAAGTGTGGACCCAGATAAAGTATGAGTTTTTGTTGCCTTTCAAGTTTAATGACAAGTTTAGGAGAAAATTTGTGATTAAGTGTTGTAATTCCAGACATTTTCTTTGAAGATTTGTTTATTTTGAAAGGTGGTTTATCTGACTAAATACTTCAGATTGTCTTTCAAAAGAGAATATATACCATTTAGTTTTCATGTTATAAATTTATAGTCCTGGAAGAGAAGTAGAAATTTAATGTAATTCATCATAGTTCTGCACAGGCTAGTGTTTAACTGTTTCATGAAGATAGTTGACTACTGTTTACTTAAAGACCTTAAAAGAAGAGTGTCATACAGATTTTTGTTACCTAATTCATTATGCCTGCACAGGATATCATTAGCTTTCAGAAAGATAGTTGCCTACTACTTACTTACAGCTTTGTAACTTCCATGATTTATGTTGGCCTGGCAGATTGGGAAGGATCTGGACCTGGGGCTAGACAGGCCAGTTGCAGGGATGGATGCATCCTCTGCAGGCCAAAGAAGGATATCTAATCAGGTCATCAAGGTAGAAAGAACACAGTATGAGGCACTGTGCTTGTCTTTGAGTTGACAGAGACAAACAAGACGTAGTTGCCTTCGGCTCAGCCACGCAGCTGGCATCAGGTTATCCTAATAGGCAGATAAGCAGAACATGGCAATGAGGAAATCTTAAGTACTGGAAGTATTTCATAAGTTAGAAACACAGGTAGTTGGCATCACATAAGTGTACCAGCAGGGAACAGGTCTTCAATCGTAGAAATTTGGACTCAGAGGCAGAATTCAAATCTTTGGGGTATTTGGGTTATGTGTAGATAAATGGATGAGGAAGAGAAGGTAGAGGATATGAGGCTGCTTTCAAGAGTGGAGCTCAGGCATGGGGAGCCAGACTGGGATGAATTACCAGAAGAACTAGATACAGTCTTCCAAGCCTTAAAGCAGTGTTTCTTAAATCTCCTTTAACTAATGTCAAGTTTGGTCCTAGAGCCTAGTATAGGCCTGAGTCTATAATTGGCAGTTCAAATGCTACTGATAGTGAGGAGGGAAAAAAGAGGAGAGCAGGAAATGAGGCAGGTCCTAATAGTACGTATTTAGTGTGTGATTATGCTAGTTAAGGTTGATGTTGAAGCCAAAGGGTATTTTGAATATGTTCAAGGTACTCTTGTTAACTACTGTTAGTATATTTCTCCATTTCATTCTTCCTTTCTTGAACTTAACTGACATTGATTTAATGCCCTCCTATTGTAAGGAATACTCTCCTATGTACTAGGGCAGATAGAAAGGTGAAAATCACACAATTTATCATATTTTACTATTCTCACCTAACCTTGTTAATTTTCATTGTCTGCTGTTTTTTCACTTTTTCCCTTGAGCTACTTAACATTGCTCAGAAAATTTATGCAACCATGCTTATTGAATAGGCTAAAATTTCATGGTTTTTCAGTTAGGCATTCAATAAAACTAATTCTTACTATCATATTACTCACAAAGGTGATTCCAAAACATTTTTTTGTCCTTAAAGCCCCCATGCCTTAGCCTTTTTTTTTTTTTTTTTACCAGAAAACCTTACCTTGAAATTTTCTGAGCTTGTAGCCACTGGCATGAACCTCAACTTCTCTTTATTTATCCTTTATTCTCCCAAAAAATCTCTGAGAAAGTACTAACTTTTTCTGGGGACCTTCTCTACAGGTCTCAGCCCTAGCTCTTTAAACTTTTTTGTTTACTGCTTTTTCCCCTGTTACTACAATTTTTTTGAGGTCTTCTTCAACCTTGCCATGGTCTTCAAATTGTAGTTCTCTCTTTATCCTTTCTTTTATTACCAAACTTTCTACCCTAAAATTACTGCCTATATTTTTTCAGTAATCATTCATTTAAAAATATTTATTGACCATCTGCCACATGTTAAGTACTGTCTTAGGCATTGGAGCTCTAATAATGAACAAAATAGACAAACCTCCTACATCCATGGTTTTATACTCTACTAGGAGAGACAGACAAAAAAAGACACATGTTATGGTATATTATAGAAGCAGCAAATTTTCTGTAAAGAATTGAATAGTAAATATTTTAGGTTCGCTAAGCCATAGTCTCTGTTGCAACTATTCCACTCTGCTCTTGTGCCACGAAAATACTCATAGGCCATATGTGAACAAATTGGCATGGCTGTTTTAATAAAACTTTATATTTAGAAAACACTAAAATTTAATTTTTATATAATTTTCATGTGTTATAAAATATTTTTCTTTTGATTTTTTTTCAACCTTTCAAAAATGAAAAACCATTCTTAGCTTGTGAACTGTGTAGAAATAGATGGTGGGCTGGATGTGGACCAAAGGAGAAAACTCATCAGGAAAAAGTGTTATTAAATGTTTTAGAAGAGGACTGAAGGGTGGAAATTTTAGATAGGGTAGCCTGGGAAGACCTTAGTAAGAAGGTGGTGTTTTTCTTTTAGTGGAAACCTAAGAAAATGAGGAATCTGAATATGGATATCTGAAAATAAAAGAGCATTCCAGACAGAGAGGATAGTGAGTGCAAAGATAGGACTATGCCTGAGGAACAGCAAAGATATTAGTGACGAAATATTAGGGAAGGTTGGAGATGTGGTCAGGGAAGCAGCGTTATTAACTCTGAGATGGAGAACCATTGGGAGGATTTGGGGCAGAGTGGTGATACGATCTGACTTGTGTTTCAGTAAGTTCACTCTGGCCACTTGTTGAATAGACTGGTGTGGGTACAAGGGTGGAAGCTGGGAGACCAGTTAGGAGGCCATTGAAATAATCTAGGCAAGAGATGATGGTATCATGGACCAGGGCGGAAGAAGTGTAGATGGTGAGAAATGGTCAGATTCTAGATAGATTAAAAAAGTAAAGTTGACAGAATTCTCTGACGTAACCAGATGTTGGAGAAAAAGAAGACACAAGGATGACTCAAAGCTTTTGGCCTCACTACCAGCGCCCCTCTTGGTGATTTTTTTGCATCTATGATTCTATAAGTTGCTCTTAGGAAGATCACCAGTGACATTTTAATGATCAAATCTAGTCTTTTCTTAGTCCTCCTTGCACAAAACAGTGTAACACTGTCAACTGCTTCTTTCTTCTGGAAACTCTCTTTGGCTTCTATGACATCTTCTCTTAATCCTGTTGCTTTGACTGTTCTTTTTCTATTTCTCTTATCTGGCTAGTCTCTTTTCACCAAACAAATGTTTGATGAGGGCAGGTACTGTGTTCATCTTTTTCAGTATTTTATCCCTAATATCCACAACCATGCTTGGTACATGGTAAGTTTTCAATACAAATTTGTTGAGTGAATTTATTCTCTGGTCCCCTCTTTTCCTTCTTTTGTACACTCACCTTTCTGTAATACTTCAAATATTTTCTTAGCTTCAGCTCTTCATTCCCACATCTGTATCTCTAGCCCTGATCTCTCTGATAGCCGACTTTCACTCCTCTATTGTCTTTGGGTATATATCCAGCTACCTATGACTGAAATCTTAAATTCATGGATTCCTTCTTCTCCCCCTATACTCAGTCATGTGCCAAGTCTGGTCAGTTCTACCTCTGCAGCTTTTTTTTAACAGCTATCTTCTCTTCCATTTTCACCTCACTACCCTAGTTCAGGCCCTCATTAACTCTTAAGACTGTTGGAATAGTCTTCTGATTATTGTATCTTGTTTAGTAATCTTCCGTGGCTCCCTGTAAATAAAGACCAAATTCCTTAGTACTTAAGATCCTTTATAACCTAGAAATAAAATAAATGTATTTGTTCTCTTTACATGTGTACTATGTTTGACTTCAACTGGAGTACCTGCTGCTTTCCCTGCTTCATCATTGCAAATGACCCCTTCCTGGCCTTTTAAAATTCTTTTTTCAAAGCTTACCTATTAATGACAGTCTTAGCTTTCTAAGGAAATTTCTAAGACTTGCTCTTCCTTTAAGACTTTGTAACACTTCTGTTTATATCTAGGTACTTAAATTCTGCCTTGTATTGTAGTTAATTGTATACGTGCCGTAACCCCTATTAGAGTGCCATCCATCTCCTTGAGGACAGGGACTATATCTATTTTCCTTGATATCTACCATA